GAAAGGGGGGGTCTGGGGGGGCGGCGCCCCCTCAGCAGGTAGCTTTTGCTACTTGTTTCATTTTTAATATGTAAAACTCATGTCTTGCTTATCTTTTACCAAAAAATATTCATCACATGCACTGATTTTCCAGATATAAGCATTTAGAAGAAAAGTTCTGCCGACTGTGGACTCAGTGTCAACGTTGTCAAGAAAGTTTACATGAAGAAGTCATATGCACCAGGTATGCTATTTTCCCTCTAAGCCACAACCTCCATCTGATAAAAAAACTAACAAATTGAGCTAACTAGAAGAGCATTTTCAAACTACGATTGATGTAAAATAAGGATAAGTGAACACTATCTCAAAAGAAATCTTATACTAGCCTTCAATTTAGGATGAATTGAAAGAAACATTGGCTACTCTATATTGATTTTCTCTCTAGTTTCTTCTCTGCTAAAAAAAATTTGACAAAATATCCCAAGAAATTTCGCAGGGCAATAACCAAACCTGGAAACGTATGTATGTTACGTATGTTACTATTTTAGTGTTTCAACATTTCTCTTTCTGTATTATTTCTTTAAGGAAAACAAGGCAATTTTAATGCTTTACACTTTTACAGAATTTCCGTCCAAAAAAAAAAAAATTCCAAGAAAGTCCACTAAACAGTATCTTGATCGAAAAATTAAGTATGATGGGAAGTCTGCAATGTCGCAAACTTGCATAACTCATTTCTAAGTCAAGGCAACAAGGACTCTTTGAATAGTGATTAGAGTAATAGACTTTCAGGGAAGATACATCATGTCAATTTTTGGAAGTTCGGGTTTGATTTTTGCACCAGACAATATGAAGGTGAAATAGAGTAAGATTATAATAGACAAGATATTAATAGAGCATTAGTTCATTTTTTCTATTGTCCTTGATAATTGACCGGTTGTCAGTCATGGAAGAGGTGTTTTTAGTTAATTGATTACCTGACCCTGTAAAGGCATGAAATGAAAAACGAATGAAGCAAGCAACCTATCAGATAACTCTATCACACCCTATACCTTATACCTATACCAGATCAGGTACCCATTAGTCTTTAGGTATTTAAGGTTCAATTTAAGGTTTACTGAAATATAATTTGATATCTTTTGTTTTTGTAGCCGTGATTGTCCAATTTTCTATATGCGCAAGAAAGTACAAATTGATTTAGGAGCATCAGTAAAAGCAATTCAGAGATTTGGAAATCCTGTCTGGTGATTTTTAGCACCATTGATCATCGTCAAATAACTGTCCTTCATAATTTTCACACTCGCGTAAGTGTTAATTTAAGTATTAGAAAAATGTTTAAACTGTTTTATTTTTTTAATGTTCTGATTCACTCAATTTTGCCCTCACATTTGAGGGTCGGCATGGCACAGAGTTGTCGCTGCCATTCTTATTTCCTGTAATTAATCAATAGTTCATTGTTACCTAGCGTTGCCCTTTTTGTCGCAAATTCAGCAACCTTGCTAGGATTGAGCCCTCAGAAGGGCCATTTGTAATTATCGGAAGCAAAAATAAAGTTGTTTTATAATTTTTACATGAACTCGGCCATTTTTAATCGCAGTTTAATTTTTGCTTGCTGCGAAAAGTACCCAGTATTTTTTATGAAATCGTTTGGTTTCTTTTTTCAACGTAAAATATCAGAGATTGAAAAATAAAAATGTCCAATTTTCAGGCTAAATCAACAAACA